ATAAAATGGGCTTTGGTTGTACTTTATTGTTGAAAATAATGGGTTTCTGAGTTGAAGGAGCGTGCAGATGAATCTTGTCCCCGGGGGACAAACACTCTAGCCACGCCTCTGACCCCCTCCCCCATTGACCTATGGTTCGGGCGCCCATGGCGCATACATAAACACCCAAACCAAGCTGTAAGGAAAGATACATAAGTAGTTACTTATTAATATATATCTTTTTAATCTCGGAAGATATGCGAATGTTATTGTAGTATGGAGCCCCCAACTATATCTGCTCAGTTGACTAATCTGTCCTTCAGTTTAACTCATTGAAATCTGATCACTGTACACCTATCTATACTTCTATATCACAGTAACCCTTACATAAAATAAAACTCATAAGCATTTCTAGCTCATAAAAAGACACAGGGCGCCATAACACGGTGAAGGGAGGACAGGATGATACGTGATGATCTAACTAAACTATCTCAAATATTCATATTCAATTGTTTTTATTATTATTTTAATTTATTTTTTTGTATGGCCGTGGTCCTTTCTACACCCCTCCCCTCAACGGAATCCGCCCCTGAACCAACAGGCCCCCCAGACCCTATCTGCGTCAACTCATGATCATGACTGCTATCCGGCCCTCCTGCACAAGTCTATGTTTTTTAATGTTTATTCGCCATCGATCACCGTCTCTCTCATTATTTAGCCATAATGCAGATTTACGGGCCGGGAGTCACGCAAGGAGTCGATCCGCTCCAACACCCGCGACAGAATCGATGAATCAATAGATCAATAGATCAGGGCGTCTCATCCAATCGAGTGTGGCTTGCTTTCGTGGCACTGGATGTGTCCTGGGTTTATCGAAGTTTTTCTTCTTTTTTTTCTTTCTTTTCTTTCTCGTCTTGAAGTCAACAAAGCGAAGAATGGCACTGCTATGACATTTCATGATCACGGAAGCTTTGATTTTTCTAACAATACACTCGAAGGATTTGTGTCCCAAGCCTTTAGTCAAGTGTCTTACGCAGAAGCGTAGCGAGAGTTAGTGCCGAACGGGGCGGGCCAAGATTTTAGCCCCCCCCTTTCCACAAAAAAAAAAAAAAACTGCGGGTAGGCCAAAAATACCCCCCCCCCCCACTTAATTTAAAGAAAAAGCCACTGGTCTCACCTGTTGTAAAATGCCCAGAGTCTTTCGTGTATTTTAAAGGGTCTAGTGTCTAATGTGTTTTAAAAAGTCCAGTGTTTATAAAGTGATTTTTAAAAAATCAATCAAACTGACAGGCTACTTCATCATACAATACTCTCAATAGACATAACCTGTGATTTTTCATATTTTAACATTCTTATTTGTAGCTTTTTTTTTTTCAGTTTCCACCATAATGATATATATTAATATAATTGTACTTTTCTCCCGGCAACGAGTCGCCTCTTTCCACTTTCCATTTAAAATTTAAAGCATACATTTCGCATAGTCATGTTACAAAAAATAACATAGATAATGTACACCCGAGAGGCACATATGGGAATATATGTATTGTACACTGACTCCACATATATACTCTCCAGCTTAAATGGCGCCACTATTTAATCCAAGAAGTAGGCCTACATTTTAAGGTAGCAAATTGGAGACATCTAGCCCTACAATTTTCCTTTGTTGTAAAGTGCTTTTTTTTTTTTTACGCGGAATTTACAGGATGACTAAAACAAAATTTATATATTTGGAAAGATTCAGGAGGCCTTCATGAAATTTACACGGTTTTTGATAGTAGCCAATTTTAAAAAAAACAATAAAAAAATAAAAAATCGTTTTGGTTTTTGGGGAGAAGAGACGGGAGGGGTGGGAGTAACTGATTGAGATAAAGTTGTTTTTTTTATTTCCTTGTTGGGATAAAACTTTGTTTTCTTAAAGCTACTTTGTGGTCTTATGAAACAAAAACCTTGTTTTCATATATTAGGTAATTATGCAATTTAAAAAATAAAAAAAGTTGCATTTTAGACCTTCCTCTCTCTCCATTTCAACCATACTATTTGGGCACCCCTCCCTTCTGGGAAAGTGCTGTAGGAAAGTAGGTGGTGGGGCACTCCGGTCTGGGTGGCACTTTTTTTCTCTTTATACGGAGGGGCGGCATTTTCGGCCACCAGCAGAGCTTTTTTTTTGTTCGTTACAGAGGCAGGGGTAAAAATGTTTGTCCAGCTCTAGGGAAGGAGGCTCTTTCGATAGGTACGCCACTGCTCTGAGATAAAGGAAACGAATTTCAGCTTCAAAAACGCGCAAAAAAAGGGGGCGGGGCCTTTTTGTGAAGGCAACTATTTGGTTCATGCCAACGAAATAATTATGTCACGCTTTACATCCCGCCCACAGGAATCATGGATGATGGAGTTAAAGTTGTCACTAGGCTAAATACTATTTAGATATGTAGCCAGTCAAAAGACCAAGCTACAGCATGACAATAAATATGAAACTTTTGCACTGATTTATTTCGACTTTACAAAACATTAAATAACAGATTTCACATATTTGTAGGTGACATTATTAGATATATTAGAGTTTAATAATTTTCAGGAATTATTTCAGAAATTAAGCAGAAATGTAGTACTTTCTGACGATGCCAACCCCAGCCCCACCACCCGCCCCCCCCCCCCCGCCGACCCCCCCCCCCCGGCCTTTTCAATGGAACACAAAATATTCAAAAGTAACTACTCCCTCCCCCCCTTTTTTCGGTGCTATGTATAATAAGATTTTGGATGGCCCATAATTGAAATTGAAAATTAAAGGAATACCATGCAGGTAAAGATCAGCTTATTTCCTAACAATTACATGTCTATATAACAACATTTGGTTTCTAAACATAAGGTACAGGTATAAATATGAGGACAGTCCAGATGAACACAAGGACACAAGTAACCATCAGTCCTGTCACCCAAGTGAAGGACACCATCAGTAACTCACCTGATGTTTCTCTATGGCTTGTGGAATGCTGACCACTCTCTCTTGCAGCTGCATGCCAGCCTTAAGTAGCCAGGATGTAACACTGGTCAGTTGGAGTCTAAACACCTCCCTGTCCTCCCTGAGATGAAGAAGTTCCTCCTCTGCTTGTTTGACAACTGTAAGAGCAGTAGATTCCAGGGAATGCAACTCTGAAAGCTTTTCTTGAATTTCAGAAGGGAGTTGCATGCCCTTAGCAGAATATCTGGCCTCATATGTCAGGTCAAGCCTCTCAATTTTTTCAGTTTGTAGAAAAATGTCTTGTGAACATACCTGAAGTAAAAATGAAAATAAAATACTCGAGTAGAAAGAAGATTTTTTTTTTTTAAAGGACTCTGGTTGGCAATGACTTGCTGACTAAAGAGGCGCTGCCACCGACCTCCCCCCTGGCGCTATCCGGGGAACACAACCACCACAGCGTGAACCTGAGTTGGCAGACAAAGGACATGCATAGTATCTGGCGAAAATGGTAGCATCTACTGGGCCATCAGCTGTGGCAATCTGCAGTTGGAATTAAAAGGGCAGAAGCAGGGTGGCGAACATGATTACATGTTCCCGCTAATTAGAGACCGGCCGAATTTCGGCTTCGGTTTTGGCGCCGAAAGTTGTCATTTTATCACTTTCGGTTTAATTTAGGTTTCGGCCGAAACTGAAAATTTAACTTTCGGTTTATTTTCGGTTTAGGCCGAAAGTGATTGAGACGTTCGGCCGTCTGGCCGAAAGTGAAAAATGCTTTCTGTCTTCCACCAGATGTAAGATTGTCACTCTGTCTGATGGCTGGCAATCCGATATATTAATTATTGCGCGACGTATTGCTGTCATCAGTAATATATAACAAATTAGTTGCGAACACTGTTCACAGCTGAATGATGACTGACTTGTCAAATATTTTTAAGAAATAAACTTTCAATAAGTCAAAAGGAAAGGTTAATAGTTTTGTGGGGGAAAAAAAACTAGGGGGAAAAAAACTATGGGGAATGGTAATAGGCTAAATCGGCCTATTTATATTATTATTTCGTTTTTTTTTTTTTTTTAAATTGGGAATACTAGGCTTATTTGAGTCATTTATAATTATCTTGCTCATAAATGTAGTCATAGTCAAAGGTAACTAGCATATGTGAAAAAAAAATCTTAGGGAATTGTAACATTTTCTTTATCATTTTTTACATAATTTTTTTAATTCTTTTTAATTTGGGATCCCTTCAATTTCTCAATTAATTAATTAATTCATTGACATTGATCGTTATTGTGCTAATAAATGATTTTTTCTGACAACGAAATAAAAGTTTAAAATATCACACTCACACCAAATTACTATAAATTAGTCAAGTGTGAAGTGTGTGGAAACAAATGTAAAGAAAGAAAAGAATTAACCTTTAGTGATATTTACAACACAAAAAAAGTATCATTACTTTTTTAATTGTGTATAATTAGGCAAACGTAACCATTAATTTAAATCATAGTCATACACAGGTATGTGTGTATCACTGTTTCGTAAAATAATTATGTCGTGGGAATTATCAAACTAAACCATCTATTGTCCAATCTAGGTCAAATATAAAATTAGCCGACCAATGATAATGGCCGATAAACAATTTCATGTCGACCAATTAGAACACGAGTTTCAACAAAACATGTATGGATTCTCGGAAAAAAAAAAGAGTTTCTTCACGTCTTGTGTGTGTGTACATTTTAATGGGCGATACCATTAAACAATAGATAACATAAGCTCTTGATCGATACCCTTTTATGTTTAGATAGCGTTGTAATTATATTTTAAAAGAAGGGTCTATTTTGCATTAAATTTACCCTCCCCCCAAGTCAAATTTTTAAATTACAATACTAATTTTAAGATTATTTTTATCAGCTTCAATTTAGTTTTTAATGCAAATGGTAAAGTATTCATTAGATGTTTATCTAGTAGATTTCACGATAATCTCATTTTTGATGAAATATCGATATTTCCCCGTGGACCGCCTTAATAAAGGAAGTTGTGAATCAACGTAAAAGAATGTCACAGAATGCGGTGTGGATGTGCTTCACAAAAGTGGAGGCAGATGCAAGAAAGGCACAGTGCAAAGAATGCAGCAAAATGTTGTCACTAGGCAGCGATAAACCAAAACTTCAAACAGTGATGTCACAAGGAGCTACATGGTATGTACCTACTGAACTTAAAGAGAGCCATAAATGACGATGCAGAGCGTGCCGCGAAAAAGATGAAGGTAAAGGAAACAGCGATGACGAAACATTCATTACCAAATTTTGTCCAGACGCCATTGACGTCAATGACTGATTTCAAAATGGTCTGGCCCGAAGACCACGTTGCTGTTCAGATAATTGATAAGTCTCATAAGTGCATCATGGACTTGATTATTGTTGACATGTTGCCCTATTCTATTGTTGAAGGGGACGAGTTCAAAAGATTGAACATTGCCATTGGTGATCCACTGAGTAGTGACTGAGCACTCATCGCTAGATATAACTATAAGTCAAAAGCGAGAATTATACAGGACAACACTGATGCCTGCCACATATGACAAAGTCGTGAAACACGTCATAAATCTACTACAAGAGGCTGCATGGATTTCATTTACAACCGATAGATGGAGCAATCCAACAAAATCATGTTCATTACTGAGCTTCACGGCTCATTTCATTCACGCAGCTGTGCGGCGTAAAGTTAGCTTGAGTGCGATGGTGCTGGAACAAGACCATGATGGACATTATCTTGCTTCAAAACTTCGGGAAGCCATTGCGAAATGGGGAATAGCAGAGAAGATTCACTTTGGAGTGAGAGACAATGCCACAAAAATGAATAAATGTGCAATGAAGCTCGCAGGTGTCGCTGACATTGGCTACGTGTCCCATATACTTTACGGTTGGTTCTGCATGATGCGCTGTTTAAAGTTTACGCAAACATCAGTGGAAGCTGTCATAAGAAAAGCCCGTAAGATTGTGACTCACTTCAAACATAGTGAACAGGCTTGCTGTCATCTTGCTGAACACCAACTAACGATAAATGTTCCAGCACACTCTTTACTGCAGGACGTTGAGACAAGATGGAATAGCTCTTATCTTATGCTGGAACGTCTGCTCGAAAGGACCAAGCCAATTGATCTGTTTAGTGTGGAGCGAGGCAGGATTGACAGTCTCTCAAACGCAGAGTGGGCACTGGCTGGAAAAATTGTCAAACTTCTGAAACCTTTCCACGCTGCAACGCTGGAGATTTGTGCTGAGGATGCATGTATTTCATTGGTCATCCCGCTCGTCGCAAATCTGAATAGCTTACTGAAAACAACATCAGCAGATCAGGGCCTGAAGCAGATGAAAGCGGCACTGCGTGATGCAATGTGTCGTAGGTTCTCTGATATCAATTCCTCAGCACCTTACCTTGCTGCAATCCTGATTCATCCACGCTTCAAAGATTCTTACTGCAAAGTAGTTCTGGAATTTCTACGTTTGGTTCAAGAATCTGCTACGAGCAATCTCAATGTGCCACCCACAACTTTGTCAGCTGACAGTGTTGAGTCCGAACCAGCAAAATATCTCATCTCGAAGATGATGTGGACCTGTGGGCTGCTCATGACAGCCTGTCTGCTACTGTCGATCCATCAGAAACTGCCGGCATCAAAACCCATGCTGTGCCTCTGTATGAGCAGCAGCTAAGTAGTTAGCTCAAGGAACTGCGAATGCCTCTGACCACAGATATATATGCATATTGCCATTGTATTCAATACCCACTTCTGGAAGCTGCTGCACGCAATTACTTGTCTGCGCCTCCCACCAGCGTGGCAAGTGAGCAGTTGTTTAGTGCAGCAGGACAGCTGTATGACGACCGACGTTACAACCTACTAGGTGATAATGCGGAGAAACTTGTGTTCCTGAACTACACTAAACAATTAGCTCTGAACTAACTGCCATATAAAGACTCTTAATGGAAGTGTATGTTTGTGTGTTATCAATTCTGTATTACGGATTACTTAATAATGATTCAACTGATGTTGATAATGTTGATTGTTTTTGTTTGCACAAATGTTTTACGACATAATGTTTTAAATATTGCGCTGGGTTATATTAGGTAGAAGGAAATAAGAGACATAAAGAATCTGCATTACTTCAAGACTTTGTATTTTGGATAATTTATGGAAACAAAAATGTGAAAAAATATTAGTAGGAAATAAATAAAATAAATAACGTGTTTATTTTATTATTTTTAATTAAATAAATTCTTCAGAATTAAAAATTATAAATAAAAAAAGCTAAAATCTCACATAAAACTATTACGAGCATTCTGATTATGGTATGTGATTAATTGTTTTTTTAAAAGATATTGGGGATGTTCTGCTTGTCATTTTCTATATATGGGCCCTACTGCTCCACAAAAATCTTGGTCTTGTTGATTTTCTCTACATCCAAACTTGGCTCCTAGAAATAACATCTAAATATTATTCTGATTGTATGCAATTTCTAGTTATTTCTTTTTAATACTATTCAAGTTTTGTGTTTATTAAAACTCATTGCTTGTTTTTTATTTTATTTGAAAAATTTAATGTTTGTATGTGTTAACTATTTTTCTATGTACCTACTAATAAAAATATAATTACTATGATGTTACTGTATTATTTTATTAGGCAATAAATCTAATATATTCTTTTTTTAATATATTTTAGGCCTAATATAGTTATAAGAGGTGGAAGCAAGCTTAAATTAAATTTTTGGTATGGCATTGATTTATGTATTCTAAAGTTACATAATCAAAAAATGATTAGATCTATTCATATATTTCATTGTTACATGCAAAGTGTGTAATCCAGCCATTGTATAGAATGTCTAGTCAAATTGTGAAATACAGAAGCCATTATACGCTTTGCATAGGCATTCTATAGAATGGCTAGAATTATACACTTTGAGTATAACATTAAGATTACAGAATATGGATTGTTATCGAAGGACGTTTTGGTGAAGATAAAAAAAGTAACAAATTATTTGTTGCGTCCGGTGATCTGTGTGTGTGTGGGGAGGGGCTGTGTTGGCGACACGTTAATAGGGATATCATTCAAGGGAAAATGGTAAATTTTCTATTTGAAATTTATTCCCGATCTAATTTGGGTAGAAAACTGGGATCTTCAAGTCCCAATATGCTCGGTTTGCTAAAAAAAAAAAAAGTAAAATGTTTTAAGCTTACAGATGGTCAAAGTCCAATGCAAAAAAAGGGGAGGAGGTTCACTTTAAAGGATAAATTGTATGAGAGTTATTTAAGACAAATAAAAATTGCCACAAAAGTTGTTCAATCATTTTTCGCGGTGAGCAGAACCTGTGCGAAAACTAATTTTAAAATATTTAAATTATTCGGTTTCGGCCGAAAGTGAAAAGTTAAGTTTCGGGTTTTTTTTTCTGTTTCAGACGTAAATATACCATCCCGACGCCTGGGAAAGTCCACTGCTCAAGCTTTGAGAGCAGTGTCGCCATACGACCGGATGTCAATGGGCTGGAGTAGCCTCCGTCGGTACCCAATCAAGTGGGTGCTTGCGGGAGCTGTACCGGCAAAGGGAGATCTTCAAAGTGCCCCTTTATTGCCTGATACTCGGGCTTAGGGAGGTGCTTTGGGGAGGGCATAAAGAGCTTTTTACAGCTCGACGGCTCACTGACACCATTTCCTAAAGCACAATTTGACAGAGAGAAAATTGAGGCATGCAGTAGAAACTCAAATATTGGGAAATCAATTATATTGATGTTCAGTTATCAATATCATATGTTGTTAACCAGCCATTTACAAATGGTGTTTAGAAGGACAGGATGTATTTTTTTTTAAAATGAATCACAAGAGTCATATTGATTCAGATAAAAGAAAGGTGTGTGGCAGAAACCACCAATGTGTCAGTGATTATGTGAATTTTATACTACACCAACAACACCTATATTTGACTTCAAGAAAGCATTTGACAGGGTTTGGCATGCTGCTTTATGGGCCACTACAACATCAACACAAACCTAACCAGCATGATATGCCACGTCTATGATAAAGTCACCAGTGCAGTCTTCCTCAACAACAACATCAGAGAATGGTTCAAGACCACGGTTGGAGTAGGACAAGGCTGCCTGCTCTCCCCCACCCTATTCAACATCTTCCTAGAGAGAATTATGTCAGATGCTCTGGAAGGACATGAAGGGACAGTCAGCATTGGTGGCAGAACAATCACCAACCTACGCTTTGCGGATGACATAGACGGACCGGCTGGGAACGAAGAAGAGCTAGCCAACCTGGAAAAGCATCTCGACAAGACCTCGTCGTCCTACGGCATGCTAATCAGTGCCGAAAAGACAAAAATGATGACAAATAACACCACAGTCATCACAAAGGAAATTAAGGTCGGGGAGGAAAGACTAGAGACTGTCGGCCACTTCAAACACCTAGGAGCAATAGTCTCAGAAGAAGGCTCCAAGCCCGAACTGACGTCCAGTATTGCGCAGACTACAACAGCAATAAAGAAGCTCAAGAAAATATGGAATGACAAAAATATAGCCCTCCACCAAAATCAGGCTGATGCGCTCATTAGTCCTCTCCATTTTCCTGTATGCCTGCGAATCCTGGACAGCCGATCTTGAAAGGAAAATAAAGGCAATGGAGATGAGATGCTTCAGAAGCATTCTTGGCATCTGCTATATGGACCATATCTCCAATGATACAGTAAAAGAAAGGGTTCGTCAGGCAATTGGGGAGTACGATGACCTACTTGTGACTGTGAAAAAACACAAACTACAATGGTAAGGCCACGTAACAAGGAAACAAGGGGAGGGAGAAGAAGAGGAAGACAAAGAAAAAGATGGGAGGATAACATCAAAGAGTGGACAGGACTAACACTGGGCGATGCAGTGCGTAGTGCTGAAGACAGAGAGGAGCGGAGGAGGATGGTTCACATGTCATCTGTGGCGCCCCAACGGTCCAAGGACTAAGGGAGATGAGATGAGATGAACAACTGGTCACACTTGGTTCAGCAGTTTCCACCTTGAAAATTAAAATCAATGTCAAATAAAACTTGACGGTTTTAAGATCTAGTCTTGAAATTAATTAAAAAATGTGAACAAATTGAAAAAATGTCTCAAAACCTGAAATAAAAGATTTGACTTAAATTAGGGCTGACCCAGGTACCTGGAAATGCAGAGCTGTGGCCCATGCGGCACATCCCTGGACCCTGCAAAATAAAAAAAACAGAACCGGGTCTGGGTGTGAAAGAAAAATAATTATCTTTTCATTTTCTATAATGTGTTCTTCCGGTTGGCAAGAAATGAAAAGTGCATGTGCACAACCAGTACATCTTTTTGATCACCACTAAAAGACTTTCTTTCTACTCATAATTTTGCTTTAGTCCCACCTGACCATCTCACTAAGGTAGATGACATCTGCCTCGCTGAGAGAACGGTGAGAGAAGGGTGGGCATGGGCATTCAGGTGAGAGCTTCGCATTGCTTGGTCGAGGAAAAAAAAAAAAGGGGGGGGGGGGGGGGGGGGGGTGTTTGTTAGGGAAAATAGAAAAGGTGATTTAAAAAAACAAAATAACGTTTGTTTCCAATTACCATGGCGCCCTAGCTGTATGATTTTGGGGAGGTGTTGTTTGGTTTGGAAGGGGTTAGTGGTATATCCAATTAGAATCAGATCAATGGAGTAGTTTAATGACTAGTTAAGTAAAATTACTTGGCTTTTGTAAACATTCATTGTTAAAAAAAGTATTAAATTCTTATTTTTCTATTATTTATAGACAAAAAAAATTTTTAAACATATTTTCTTTCAAAGATGAGTTTAAACCCAATAAAAAGTAGAAAATATTTTAAAAGTTCTGTTTGCCTCAAACCCCTATAAAAAAATTATAGTACTAACACCTTTTCATTTATAAAAAAGCTCTGGCACCTCACCCTTTCTCACAACATGTAACGCTATTTCAAGTTTTATTCTTTTGTGGACTGACACGAGTTGACATATGTTTTAAAGGGGTCACAGCACTGAAAAGGTTGAGAACCGCTGAGTTAGGATTATATTATTAAGCTATTAGCATTTTGAAGCTTTCAATTTCAAAACTTTCATAATGGCAACTGGTTCTAAAAATAATTTTTAATTTTGCACTTTTTAGGATTATATTATTAAGCTATTACTATTAGCATTTTGAAGCTTTCAATTTCAAAACTTTCATAATGGCAACTGGTTCTAAAAATAATTTTTACTTTTGCACTTTTTACTTCTCCCCATTGGTTGATACACATAAAAGAAAATGAGAAGATGACTCTTATCTTTTAACATCTTGACCCAGACTTGGACCTGCATGGTATTTTCTCAAACAGCTGCACCTGGCTGAGCCGTAATTTAAATGAAACAAAGACTTACTTTAAGTTGAATCAGAGAGTCACTGGTCTCTAAATGTTCCATAGACT